GGGCCGGGGCGGCGGCGGGGCCGTGCGGGGCGCGGCGGGCCGGCCAGCAGCCAATGGGGCGCGGCCGGGTTCGCGAGGTGAAAGTTCAGCGCCGGGGCAGAGGCTCTCGGGGCCGCGGCGCTGCCGATGGGTGGCCGTAAAATATATTTATTTGCTACTCGCGGCTCTTTTGTCTCTTTGCCCCTCATTTCCCCCTCTTCGCCCCGTCGCTGCACGGGTTACCGGGGCGCTGCCCGCTGCCGCGGTAGGACTACGAGCRCAACGGTTGCGGGGGACGCTCGCCCCGCACCCCGCGGAGCCGAGGAACAGTGTTCCCGCGGGCAGTCGCCCTCCACGGCTCCGCGCCCCGCGAGCCAGCGGGGCGGGAGGGGAACCGCGCGGGACCCGCCGCTACGCGTCCCGCCGGCCTGCAAACGAAATCGAGCCCCGCAGGCTCCGGCCGCCGATGGCCTCCGCGGGCAGGGGCGCGGAGCCCCGCGGGGGCACAGGCTGCGCAGTCCGGAGACCGCCGGTCCCCATTCCCCGCGGGCGGGAAGCGCGCCCCGGGGGAGAGGCAGCTCTCCCTCAGGAGYCGTCTGCGGCGGCGGCCAGATACCGGTGCCGGCGGAAGGCGCCGTGCGGCACACTTTCTGTGGGGGCTAGCCCGCGGTACGGAACCGGTGGGACGGCGCGGCCCGGCCGCGGGCACCGCCAACTTCGTTGGACGCTCGGCGGCCGCCGCATCGTCGGCCGGCGGGACGGGAGCGGCGGCGCGCAGCGACCCGCGGGTCCGACCCTGCCGCCCCAGCCCTGCCCTGCCCTGCTGTGCTCGGCTCTGCCCTGGCGCGGGCTGCCGCCGTCGGGCCGGACGCTGTCCGCTCCCGCCAGTGTCCGCAGCTCTCCCTGCCCCCTGCCAGGGCTGCGCTTTGTTCCGCGAAGCCCTCGTCTCGTTCAGTGGCCTCACAGGCTGACCCTCTATCTGGTGGGCACAACATACAAGGACGGCGCTTGGCTCCTGATACTACTTGTCGCGACTTGGCAGTACCATGCAAAATTAAAGCTAAACAAACACGTACCTTACCCACTTTTTAATGTTTTCTTTTTGGTTTTTTTCTTTTTTTTTTTTTTTTTTTTTTTTTTTTTTTTTTTTTTTACAAGGACGATTACGGTATAAAATATAACTCGACTTTTCTAATTAAAAAGGCTGGTGCGTTTTATTTGTTCCTGTTTACGGTTCAAGATTTCATCCGCACAATTGTATTTCTCGCTTGAAATAAACCGCTTTGAAACCATTTTCCTTTAATTAATTTAGTGTAATTTCTCTGTGCAGCTGGCAGTGTTAGGTGTCTGTCAGATTGCTATTTTCCATTAGGATTGTTTAGAAAGCAAACAAAAACACAAAACAGACTCCTCTTCGAAATAGGTGCATTCACTTTCCTCCCTGCGTGCCGCTCCGAGACACTTGGGAAAGAGGAGAAAATGCTGGTTTTAACCGAAGTCAAATCGAGGAGAATCTGTATTACAACATCAAAGAAAAGGAGACGTTACAAAATTGGTGGAGTTACACCACCATCTGTCGTTAAGCTTCGGGACTACAAAAGTTCAGACGTATAATAAATCTTGATGAGAGATGGCAACTTTCTTTTTTTTCCTCTTTCACCTCGAACTCCTGCCACCTTGGCAGAATGGGTTTCCCGGCGGGGCTGGAGAGTCTCGAGTGATGGGCAGYAGATTGTTGATACCCTTCACAGACGGGTCCTCTGCGAGGCCAAAGGGTTTCTTCTGGCACCTGATGTCCACAAGCAGTTGCTCGTCAAAACACACAGGCACCAACACTTCGCCGTACCTTTGGCCCGAGGAGGTTGCATTTATTAAAAAAAGAGGTCTAATTTTGAAAAAAGAAATAATAGTTGTATTAACAAACCAACAAAACTAAAGCCACCCTCATATAAAAAAAAAAACAAAAAAAAAAAAAAAAAAAACCTCAAAAACAAACCAGCCAAACAAAACAACAAAAAAAAAAACAACCAACTAAACGAAACAAAACAAAACAAAAAAATGTATCTCTTCTATTACAGCTGTAGGATCCGATTTAGCCCATTTTGTATACCTGTTCTGCAGTGCTGCATTCTGAAAAGGAACATATAGAAACAGACCTTGGAATAATATCTGCAAAGAAGTTGTGATGTTCTAATAAAATCTCTGACTACTCTTAAAACTTCAAGTACCATAAACAAATCCTTAACAGAAGCATAAAATGATTTTCTATTCCCGGTGTAAACATGGCATCTTCTATGTTCTTGTCAGAGCTCCCTATCAGACTTTAGCTCTGAATTCTTCCGTTAAGGGCTTGCAAATGACCATTTGCTATTAGTTACCAAAGAATCTTAAAAGGAATGAGTGTTTTCTTTGGAATTTTCCGAATATTGGTGTTACCTGGTGTTTCAGAGGCCGATTGGTAGTAATGCAAGCAGGGATCTTCACTGAACTCCACCACAAAAAACCATCAAGTTTATAATTATTTTGTCAGGGTTACTATCTTAACACAGGTGTGGTTTAGTTAGTATTGATCCAAATGTGTTGCTGGATTGAATGCTTATCATTAAAGGTTAAYTTTCAGGTAGTTTCTGTTTCACTGCGGAAATTCACAGAACTTTGACTGYCTTCACGCTGGCAATTCACAGGTGCTCACATGCCTTACACTGTAATTAGCACTGGGCATCTCCTGGTACTATTTGAGGTGAAAGTGGTGGTTAAACACACTCACAGAAATCCTGTTTCCGACCTGATTCCCAGGCCTAGAGAAGCTCCGTATCCTACCAGTAGCTGTTGACACTAAGTAGGAAATTTTCACTTCTAGTTTGTGGGCATGTCAAAAGAGAGAAACTTATTTCCTCTGAAGCTCTATGTCCACTTTCCAGGCTATCTCATAAAATGCAGAATTATGCTGCAGGCAATAAACACTTTCACCATTCCTTTGTCTGTTGTTTTCATTTCATGTTACTAAAAAAAAAACAAAGTCTTCTATCTTCTCCATAGTCAACTAAGCTCTCATAATCAACTAAGCTCTTTGAATCAACATTAAAAGCTAAGGTTTGCAAATTGGTGAAACAGGTGTTTAACATTCATTTGATTGAAATAAATTTTGTGACAACTTTGAGAAATAATTAGGTCATTACAACCAATTGCTTATTTAGGAACATTTAGTAAAAGGTTTGTGTCCAAGAATTTGCTGATGATTTCAGTGTTTGCACTGCCTGTAGTTTTATATGTCTAATAAATAATAATTTCATTTTTAAGTTGCTGAGTAGATATTATAGCAGCAGCCAAACTTAAACAAAATCAAATAATTGAGAGTTGCTGGGGCAAAGAAAAGTAAAGTGTGGCTTTCAAAATTGTCTTGCTTAAGTTGGAACAGATGCTACCCTCAACAGCACTGACTGAAACAAGGGATTACACTGTCAGTCCCATTTCTTTGATAAAGTTAAAAAAAACAAACCCCACAAAGTTGTGCATATCTTGAAACTCGATTTCTATATTAAAAAATATGTCAGAATTTTTGACATTATATTTGGCTTCTGTCTATAAAGATGACCTGCATATCTTTCTGGATTCTTTTCCTGTTTTGTGCCAAACAGGCCATGCTGACTTTTTGGGTCCTGGTCCTCCAACCGTTAGCGGTATATGTGAAAGTCTTATTTAGCCAAAGGTGAGKAAAGTTTTAAGACTGCTAAACCTTTTGGTGGGTTTCCAAAGTATAACCCAGGGAGCAGTACCACAAACATACATAAACAAGTAGCTGTGTGAGGCTCATGAACAGCTCATAACTTCTGAAAAGTTTGGCATCTGACCTGTAAGGTGGTACTAAAATTTAGGCATGTAAATGTAAGATTGTAACCTTTCAAATCCTTGTTTTGTTTCCAGGAGTTAACACTGATAAGGTGCCAATAAAATTGCTTAGGCTTCTAAGGCTCTGTTTTTGAAAATACTCAAAATATAACTGTGTAATTCAGGATGAAGAGTTTGGTGAGTTTCCTCAACCTAACTAACCTAAAACTGGGCATCTTCTGTGCAGCTGAGCATTAAACTGTAAATGGATAAAATGCCCAGTCAGTTTTTAGAGCAGCCACTAACCCAAGTCTCCTATTTCCTGGGTAAACATCCCACCTGCTGGGCTGCACACCCACTATTCTCCTGCTGACCCCACTGGTCTTTGACCCCTGTTCTGCAAAGGGACACTACAGCTCTACTCCAAACCAATCAAAACCAAGTGCTTGGTCGTGGTTCTGGGAGGTGACGGATGGCTTCTGTCCAAGGAGGGTCTAGAAGTCAAATAGAMTAGCATAATAATTTAGATATTATATATATGCATATACATACACATATACATATACATGTACATATACAGTATATAAAGACATTGCAGCCATTCCCCTTTGTTGTTAGTTTCAAACCACGGGTGAGAACACCTGTGGCTTTTRTGAAACAGACCATAAAAAACACTGTGTCCAAAAAAGGATTCAGGGCTCTGAATAGCAAAATAGCAGAGTGTGGCAACCCTGAGAAGGGCAGCAGTTGAGGCAGCGCTGTCTCTTCAGCCTTTTCTGCAGTTGCCTTCAGCAACTCAGAGCAGTGACCACTATGAATTTCACTCCTAAGTTCCCAGCTTCCTCAACCTGATGCAGAGGTGGCCCAGAAACTATTCTCAAAGACTATGGAGTATATGGGATTGCATGTAGGGACCAGATTAGACAAAAAGCAAGTTCAGTTATGAAAATGGAGCCCTAACTATARAACAAGTACCCCCAGGTCTGAAGTCCAACTTCTCCTTTCCCACCTTGTGCTCAATTTATTTGCATTTTTCCTCTTTATAATTTCCTCAGAGCAAAACCTGACATAGGGACTTGCAGAAACTTTTCATTAAGGTTGACAGAAATCTTCCTGACAGGCAGATTTTTATTTGTTCTGTTGCTCCTACTCTCCTCCTCCAGCTATAGCACTTTCTCACCCCTCAGGAGAAAGTTGTGTGGAAATGCCTCTGCCACACAGTATGCTCAGGTGGCAAAGTGTTACCTTCAGATGAACTTCTCCAGCCACACTCAGAACCAACAAGGTGTGTGGGTTGGTAGAGTAGAGGAATTAGTAGATGAGTGGGCTTCTTGTGGTAAAGCAGCAAAAGGCTCTGATAAACTTGCCCCCACAGAGCACACATGCGTTGCCCATGGGTTATAGTTTAATCTCCCAGAGTGGAAACTGACCTGCCAGAAGGAATRGACAGAGTTCTACTTCACAAAACAAAACAGGACTGATTCCGTTCTCGTCAACCCTAGATGTAGTTTCCAACACTAAAGTTAAATTATGACTTTGTTATACCAAAAAGTTATTTTCTAGCTCTTTCTTTTCAAGCTAAAATTACTTACATTTAGGGAAATATATTAAGTAACCAAACAACAGTTACAGCTGTGTCCGGACAATGCTTTCTTTTGGTAACAGACATATGAACCACATTAAAGATGCAAAATTCAGTTTAGTTTCATGACGTTTGTACATCTGCAGCAACATTCTGAGAATTTTAGAAATTTTGTCAGTATTTAGGATTAAGGGACAGAGCTGTCTTTTTAGAAACCATTTCTATGTTATACATACAAATTAGCATGTATTAAGTAGTCATCTTTCCACCCACAAGCACTTTTATAGAATTCATGGGTTTGGGAAGTAAATTGAAAGCAGGCTGTGGATGTTAACAATATGGTTAGATACAGGAGTTTTACACTAGTCAAACACTGAATAAACAAGCCCTCTTTTTAGGTTTGTGGAGAGGACTTCAGGAACACAGCCTCAGGTTATGTATTTTTAAGGCAACAGAGATACTGTCTTGTAGTTGTGAATTACAGAGTTATGTGATTCAGGAGCAGCAAAGTAACTTTATTTTCCAAATTTGTRTAAACCTATAATCAAATAAATACTACCTGTTTCCTT